TACGTACAGACAAATTAGATTGGAAAGAATGTTTTCCTGGGTTGTCAAAAAATACTGACGATCTGTAAAGTAGCCTACTGACAGGTCACACAGTTCCTCAGCAGGTGTTTCCAAAGAACTGAGGCTAAGACTGATAAGTATTTATGTTGTACATAATTTTGCTTCATTCCCAGACTCACTACTACAGAAGGAACATGTGCCCTGATTTGGCTCTCTTCCACAAGTCCTGAACTGTGAATATGAAATCTGCACTTCATTTTGTTTCCCTTGCCTCTCCATCTGTGCTGAACCATTAACAGCTTAGTGGGGCTGCCAGCCCTTAAGGCCCTGAGAGAAATTCCATCACACAGCTGAAATTGAGTGTAAACCATTATGCCAAGAAAATACTTCATGCATTTCTTTTTTTGTTGTTGTTTTTTTCAGCATCTTTTTCACTGCCTACTAAAATTTTAGATTTAGGAAATTACCTGAGCAGCTTGGCTTTCAGGTCTTATACTAACCATCTTCCAAAAAAGAGACCCTTCAGAACTAATACAACATAGGCATTCTTCCCATTTTCATGGGAAGACTTAAAATCCTGTAAGTGAATAAAATCCAGATTCCAGAACTACTGGGAGCTTAACTGTACTGCCAAGTCCGTGGATGCGGCTGGTGTATTGTAATACTGCTGAGCAAAAAGTGAAGCAAGAATTAAACAGTAGAAGCTCATCTGCTGTCTTTGCTAAATAAAGGAGTGAGACTTGGAGAAAGAAACAGTAAGCAAAAATAAAAAACCATTGAGGGAAAAAGAGTGGGCAAAAAAGGTAATTTTACAGGTGACTTTTCTCTTTCACTGACAGTGAAGGAAGAACTTATTGGGAGAATTTTTTCTAGTTATTGGACTTCCTAGTAAATAGGATAATTACCTGCCCCAAAAGCTCTTTTAAGTACTCAGATGAGTGTGCCTTTTAGGTTGACATTTATCACACAAATCCCATTATAAAAAGTCAGTAATGAGGGGAGAGGCAAGGCAGGAGAGTGCTGCTTTGAACAGAGGGCATGGCCTGTGGGCAGGAAAGGTGGGTGAGACTGGGGGCAAGGGCAGCCACAGCACAGTCCATCTTGTGCACTTAGTGGGGATGTGAGACAGACTATCTGATTCATCTGCTTCACCAGCAAAAAGTGCCCTGCCTACCCTTGCTTTCATGCTGACTACAAAAAATTTGCAAAGAAAACAACTACACTTAGAAAGCTATTTTGCCTCTGAAAACTCCTACAAAAATCCCTTAGCTTGATAGTCTTTCCTAGGGTAGTCTCACATGTCTCTGTAACAACAGGGCAATATGTAATATGTACTGGTTTTCTAAAGCAGCAATCATGTGACTGAAAAAAGTAAATATGTAAAGAGTTATAATAGTCTAGGTATAGATGGATATGATTAGGAATATGTGGTCATTTTATAAATTACTCATAACTTATAAGTAATAATTTCTATATTCTAAAGCATTCTTTTCCTTATTTCTTAAAATCTCTTATGACTATATGAATTTGTTCTTTAATGAGGAAAAATTTTTATGCTTCTTCGTCTATTTTTTTGTAACCAGCAGTGTCAGATCTGCATCAGCCTGTTAACATTGGGATATTGGAGTGAACAGGTCACACACATAACAGTGATCAGGATGCTTTGGGCTAAATATAGTTTTTAAATGTAGCAGTTCAAAAAACAATTGTAGTGACTGTGTGTCTGCATGGTACTCTCCATATTAAACTTCTATTAATAAAATTGTAGAGTTACAGTTCTCTACTTTAAATATCTGTAAATCAGAGGTTTGAGCCATTGGTGCACTTACCAGTTACAGCTACAGATATAGATCATGTCAAATAGCAGTCACTGCTAAAGGATATCTAGTATTCCCAAGATCTATATGCAGCATTTATATCAGTAGAGCAGTACCTTGCTATAAAAATACGTAACCCATGCTCCAGTTACAGAGCGTTTTGTGAAGTATGAGCATCTCCTGAGACAATCACCCACAATTTCAGGTGGTGTTGTGCAGAGATGAGTTCTAGGACACTCCCACAGTGAATTCTGGGGAAAAGTACGTCTCACAATTTAATTTTCATTGCAGAGGAGCAAATTATCAAACCCAAGAGCAAGCGGCACCAGTTAACTAACCTGAATTTGAAAAACCTTCACACCTAGCCCCAATTGGGTTGGGGATAACAGCTATGAAATCTCTAGTCAAACAATTATTTAAGAAAAAAATCAAGAAGAGTTTGGAAAATTCAACTTCTTCTGAATATCTCTTTCCAGTCTAAGAATCACTATTATTCTATTCTAGAAATTTGAAGGAAGCAAAATCAGTTCATCACTATCAGTGTGTTGGTGCTTCATGGCTCTTCATCTTTCCATGAACAGCCATTTTGAAGACTGAAAATAAGATAAGAATCTCTTACTACATAATAAATAAATTTTAATCTAGTTTAGATTAATTAACTTCTTAATGACACAGCTTATTCCTCAACCTGTTTCAAACTGGACAAATAGCTACAGAAATCACAGAAATTATTACAATAGTTCATCTTAATTAGCACTTTTAGTGTTTCAGCATGTATTAAACACTGACTCAGCACAGGCCTAGTGTGCAACATGTTTTCTCTATATTACATAGTCCTTTACTTACGAAAAATCACATGGAAAGCTGTAGTACTGATCAGGAGGTCGTGACAATGGACTGCAATATCTGCAGAATAAACTGACCCTAGTCACTGGGACCAGGAAGCTTTCATGCTGCTTCATCATACTCTGAGAGGATAAACCAGTTCCTTCAGCTCTGCCTTGATCTTAGTGTCAACGTTTTAAATTAACTGCCAGAAGCGAGTACATAAAGTATGCTGTCCTGCTAAGTTACTTCTCTGATATTACCTTTTTTCCCCATATATTTCATTTTATTTTTGACCTTGGTCATACCACTGCAAAGCCCATATGGTTTGCATTGAATTCCATGAGGTTTTGTTGTCAGTATAAAAGTAGCAAAATTGTTTGCTTGCTCAAGGCTTTGAGCTTCAAACACTTTGGAAATAATACGTCACTTTAGGTTTTGCAAAAACAAAATCTTCAGTCATTACATAGGTTGTGGACCTATGTAATTATGTTAAGTAATACACATGCAGTAAACCTTCGCAAAACTTAAATCAACAAGCTAGAAGTAGATAGTCTAGATCATGTCTATGCTAGAAGGATTCCTAACAAAGAAAAGAATCCTTAAGATAATTTCCTTTGTGCGTTGATACCTGCAGTACAGGCATAGCGTGATACTGCAGACACTGTCAGCTGAGGCCACAAGATATCCATTTAAAGGCTCAGTCTTTGTATTCAGACTGAAAATATGGAGTTTTAGACATGCATCGTATCACAGATTGTCTTTTATTTTATGCATTTTCCTGTACGGTGTTTCTGAGTTGAGCTGAGGGTTAAGTGCTACAGATAGTAAATGTATTCATTCTTCTTATTTCTAGTAAAAAGTTTTGGCTTTTCCAGAGATGGTCATTTAGGTCCATCTGACCTTGTGCTGAAACTGGATTGTTTCATCCATTCACCAGAGCTGCTGTTCTCACAGAGGCAGAATTTGCCTGGCCATGTTTGGTTGATTTTTTTAAGGCTATGGTTGAGTCTTTCCTGGTTTTTCGCCATTTCTCTAATTTAATTTCCTTTGGTGTTTTACTTGTATACAAACTGAGAAATATTTTTTTCTTTCATTTACAAAGTTTAATATCCTTAAAGCCTTCTCACTTTCTCCTTCTGTTCCCAAGTACAAGTACATACTTCCTCAAGATTGCTTACAAGCTCCACTTAGTGTCACAGATTGGAGGTTCCCACTCTGGTTCGGTGACAGAGGGGAAACTGTTTTACATCAGGCTCCTAACACCAGTGTTCAGCACAAGTGCAGTAGCAGGGATAACACAGGATTATCCTGGTGACTGTGCTGCTAGCACAGGAACTGTCAGTCTTGTCTTTCATTTCTTGCCCCATCTGTTTTGCATTCTTGCTGCTGTAGCAAGAGCCATTGCAGAGCAGCATTTGTGTTTGAGCACGTGCAGTCGAGATGAAAAGAGCTGGAGTTGCATAATGTCCAAACTGAGCTCTGCCTTTCTCAGGAATATAAATCATTTACTGAACTGTTTTACAGATGTTAAATCTGTCATTTGCAGCAAATATCCATCCAGGAGATGCTAGCTTGTATCACCTATTTTGTATAAAACTTAGTTAGGCCTCACGGGCAGTTATTCTGACAATTTCCTTCACAGTAAACAAGGGTAATGCTGTTCACCTGCTTTATGGCACATGAACATTAACTATTCAGCCATGTCAGTATTTAAAGATGAAAACAGAAATAATAGTTATTTTTATATACATGTAGAATGCCAAATATTAAAGAAAAGGGAAACTGGCTACACATCATGGTTGATATTTTAATATTCAGAAAAGGCAAAAGTACCAGGTTGGTTATCACAGTTGCTGAGTGCATTATATGGGAAAACGCAGCCATGGAACTAGAAGACTGCCAGAAGGGACAACAAAAGATATCTTTAAGGTTTTATTTGGCTTTGGTTTGGGTTTACATATTAAAATTCAAAATCAAATAGACATAAAAGTCTTTAAAATATTTTAGCATTAAAAGTTCTAAAAACACTCTTACCTCGTGTTATTTCAAATACATAATCTGATACTTCTCTGTTAGATGTTTTAAAGTGGGTTATAAGCACTTAAGTGGGTTATAAGAACTTTACAAGAGATGCACACACACAAAAAAATCCCCTTTATTGGAAAGACACAAAGATTGAACTATTTTGTTGTCCTGTTCAAATGTTCTGGTTGCCCTTTGCAATTCAGGATGGCTGCCGTCTGTTTGGCCTTTTCCCATCAGGATTCTGATATAATGGTGAACTCTACAGCATGTGCAGAAATTGTTCTCAAGCCTATGTTAACAGTCATGGTAATATATTTTTTAGGTTTCCTCTACGCTCAGAACAGTACCAAACGCAGTATTAAAGAGCGACTTATGAAGCTCTTGCCCTGCTCGGCTGCCAAAACGACATCTCCTGTTACTCAAAGCAAGTTTTATTTTTCATTTGATTTTTTTTTTTAGGTTTGCATGCATCAAAAGTTATACTTTCATTAACTGGTCGTTTGAGAAACAAGATATCTGCTGAAGTAATCGTACACTCTTCTGAGGTTTAAAAACAAGTGATGAACAGATTTGTGGGCTGGTAACAGATTTGTCTGTGCAGAGCAGGATGACAAGATACCAGCGCCAGGGTCTGCCATGTAGGAGCTGCTGGGTTGGCACTTATGCTCTGCAAGCTAGCCAAGAAGTGATTCACTGGTTAAATTAAATACCTTCTCTTACTGTATTTGAAAATTGGTACATTTTTGTGTACATGTGTGTCCATGTCTGTGTGTGTTTGCTGTCCAATACAGGCCAGTATCAGCAGTACTGGTCTGGGAAGAAAGGCTTGGCCCTGCAGGTTTTGACCGTATAACATCAAACGATTTAGGGAACAGGACTTAAAGTTTGTGTCTGAAAGAAAAATAATAATGAGATTGAAAAAAAAGTATGGGAATGAGGAGATAAAGGAAAAACAAACTGACACTACCTATAATATCTTGATACGCTGTGAGGAAATAAAATCTTGTCAAGGTTGCTAATAGATAAAAATAGGCAGAGGGAGGGAAAAAAGAGATCCATACATAGATACGTACATACATTTATATACCTAGATTAATTATAGTAATAAGAGATTAATTAAGCGATTAATTACAGTAATAACAGTAATGTCTTCCCATATAAATTGGCTACTATAACTGATTTTAAAATATCCCTGTGGATGCAGTTTGGTCTAGATTAATTTGGCTTAATTCTAGGCACTGATCTAAGCACTTAAAATTATAAGCTGAGCGGTCCCTGTGCTTCCTGTATACTCTTCTGATAAAGCATGTCAATCAACCTAATGTAAAAAAAAACCTTCCGGAGCAGCATCCAGTGAATATGGGACAACTCAAGGCAACTTGGTTATGAACACAGGCCCCAGTTAAGTGCCTAGAGTTCAGTGGTATGGCACTAGGCTTTCTTTTTGCTGTCCCACTTCACTGCCATTCATATGCTTCTCTATAGAGAAGGCTGTGGTACTTGTTTTCCTGTCAAAGTATTTGAGATCTCAAAGATGAAAAGGACTAAAGATGTGGATGCACAGTGATTTTTTCATGGTGGCTTCAGCTGATGTGTTTTACTTGAAAATACGATAGCTCAAAAAAGTCAATTACTGTTGTGACACCTGATAGTAATTAATTATGTAGAAGTTGTTTTCAGCTACGTGACCTGGGTAATATAGCCTTAGACTATAAAAGGAATCATAGAATCACAGAATGGTTTGGGTTGGAAGAGACCTTCAAAATTATCTAGTCCAACCTGCCTGCCATGGGCACATCAGATCAGATTGCTCAAAGCCCCGTCCAACCTGGCCTTGAACACTTCCAGTGATGGGAGATAGAGTAGAAAAAGGAAATAGAATAGAAAGAATAGGAGATTTGATCTGTTTGTTTAAAGTTAGTTGGAGACCAACACATCCTTATTCCTCGCACATTTCTATGTGCGCTTTTTGTCTGATAGGTAACACAAAAATATTTAGTCAGTCTCAATAACCTTGAGCATGCAACACTTGTATTGTATTTTCTTGCTGAAAGTTTTACAAACCAGAAGAGAAGTCAAAATACAACTTTAATTAAATATTTCATATCTGAGAACCAACTAGTAAAAAAAGATGCATTCAGCATTTTTCTCTGTACTTTCATCAATAATGAGGAACTATATTAAGTAAGAATGTTATATTAAATGAAAATATTATATTAAATAAGAATATCATTGTAGACACATCTTATTATTATCCCACTTTGACATAATGTGCTATTTGATTTCTGCTAGCATGAAAGAAGCAACATTGTAATGTACTAGAAACAAAGCCAGCCCTGCCTACAATAACCACATAATGTGAATTCCTTAGAAATTTTAAGGGGAATATTTTTAAAACAAGTAATTTGTTGAAATATACATAGCCTGAATTTGCACTTCTGTACTTAACTTCTATCAATGTGTTCAGGCAATGGTTACCTGAATAAATAAATCCATGTTTCAGGATTTCCATTGAACAAAGCATGTCAAAGAATGCTTTGTCTTACTTGTGTGCTTTAGGCTGGTAAGCCTAAACTTAAATCCATCCTTCCTAAATACATGTGCTAGAGATAGGACTAGATTCAAGAATGATTTTGGAAAAGAAAAGCGTGAGTGCATGCAGCTCTTAAATAGATAGAAGAGTTAGAATTTGAGTTTGTGCAAGCAAATGCATGTGCACAGGTTTTGCAGATATGAACAGAGCTTTGGACAGGCTTCTGCAGCTGCCATTTTTTGAAGAGTACGTCTGCTTTTTGCATTGCTTTTACCATTTTATTCTTTAGTGAACAATGAAGGGTTCAAAGCACAGCGCCTGTGGCAAATACACTAAAAACTGTCTTTACTATTTAGATAAAAGAAAGCTACTCATTAATGAAAGCAGTAAGAATATTATGTTTAATATATTGAGTGAATATGAACTTCGTTCTGTTTTTCAGTTGACATATGTTAACCGTTTATGAAAAAACAAAACAAAACCCTTAATTTTCTTAGGCTGAGGAAACTAGAGAACTGAAATAACAAATTTTTCATTAATTCTATAGAATTAATTAATGTTGAGAAATAGATATATTTTTACATATTTTCACTGTATATTTTAAAGTACCAATTTTTTTCCTGACCTGGATAATGGAAGCCGTAAGTGTGGAAATAAAAAAAAAATTAAAAACTTTCAAGTGACTGATGAATGCTATAATATTTTAATCAGCATAGTTGGCACATTATAAGGAAGTTTACAGTGATCTAATTTTTTTATTATTTATCTCTATAAGAAACTACAGAAACAGAGTGTGAAAAGAGTGTTATACTGAACCTTTTCATTAACAGAAAGACAACATTATCACTGCACTGCAGTCTTCTACGTTCTCACCAAATCATTAAAACACAATAAAAATGTTTATTATTAAGGATATACCAAACATTGTGCTCAGCATCACATTGTCTGGCCTTTATCTCTAGCTTCACATTTATTATATGTATTAATTTAGCTTCTAGAAAACCCTGTAGATGTCTCTCTAGGTAGCCAGATATTTCACAAATGAATGCTTAGAGAGCTCATTTCCAGTTTTGTCCCTTTCTGTCTAAACAATAGCGCATTTAAATCCCATATAACTCTTGGCATATAAAACACAAGTGACTTCTCAGCAATATTTATTCTCAGGTTGATTATTTTGCCAATTTAGTATAAGCACCTAGTGTTGACTTGCAGATGATAAAAAAAAATTCAGCTGCGCATCTAGAACATGACATTGTTATAGAGACTTTGGTGACTATATAAAGAGTATAAAAGATTAATCCCTTAAAACATGATGGAAAGACTTTAGAAAGTGTGCAAAGTAAACCCTGGACATTCTTATGCAGAGTTAAAATGGGACTCAAGAACTATGCTACACCTTCCATAGATTAGGAAGACAGCTTCTTAACTCTGGAACTATTTTATTCCAATTTGATCTCTAAAGGCAGGATTTTCAAGACTTCCTCTTTGCACCTCAGCATATCTTTTTAAAGAAGAGAGCTGAAATTTTCTTATAATCTTGTGAGTTCGGATACTGTCCTTTTAAAACTATTATAAAACATCATAAAATGCATGTAAAGTTCTGTCAGTTCGGGTTTTTGTCAACAGCATTTAAATTGGAAGTTTTCACAAAGATGGTGGTGGTCTACAAGTCATATGAGACAATCTATAAAGAAAAATTAAAGACATATAATAGTTTATCCATAAGCTAATACACAATGGACATTCTGAGATAAGACTGCAGGTGACACTGAGATCATCTGAGTGACGCTGAGATCATTTTCCTGAGATGAGTGCTAACAGCAACATCTCTTTGACAGGAGAAAAGACAAGGCCCTACAATTTTGTGAAGAGTTATCCAAATAGTTTATATATTATATCTATTTAAAGGTTGTTCATTTCTGTTTAGCTGAACTATGTCTTCTGATGCCAGATTTCTCCCAAGCAGTTTAAAGTTATTACTGCATTATAGCAGAACAAAAATATGTGAAGATGTAAGCATAATACTGTTTAATGGAGTAACCTAACATTGTGCTCTTATGAAAATAGCACTGAATAAAACTTTATTTTAAGAATGCAGAGTGCCACACTCTGATGAAATAAAATATCTCAGCATTGTACAAGTGACAATTAGGCATGTTCTCTCAAGTTACATTTCTATAGTTGGTATAACTCTTAAACCAGGATAAGGCAATGATAAGATTAAATTAGTCTGCAGTACTACATAAGCTATGTTTAATGCTGGGAGTACTTAAAAACAGATATATACATTCATATTTTTGATCAGGTATATGTCTGGCACCCTATATAAAAAAAATATATTGTCAGTTTCTTTAGCTATTTTATTGAACTTTAATATTTAAAACTCTACCTGGAGAAAAAATGCATTGCTATCTCATTCTTTTAGGGCTGAACTCAGCTGTAAGCCTTGAATGTGTGTATCCACATTCTTGTTCACCTAATGATGAGGTCACTAAAATCATCATGTTCCCCAATTAGGCTGTTCACCATGCATAATCATGTTTGCTATGAAGGGTTTGTTATACCATACCCAAACTAAGGTCTGCTGTTGAATGTGCAACATCAATCTCACACATTTTCCAAAGCACAACTTCACAATAAAAGGAGAAAACTGAAAATCCCAGTCTAATACAGTGAATTCACACCCATCAACTAACCAAGGGAAAATTTCCAGTATTCTGGAGTCACTAAAGTTTTATAAAATTGTTTTCTTTGGTCAGACAGTCATAGAAACAGAAAAGTCATACTGAATGTGTTATGCATGCCCTTGCAGAACGTTGGCTTTCCAGTTTATTGCTATCTGTACTGTTGTGATAATATCCAGACTGATGGATCATCATTGCTGTTCCTTGTTCTGTGCAGCCACAGAAGCAGATAGATACCTTTTCCCTGTGAATTCAAAATGAATGTGTGATTTGTCTTTAAAGCTGCAAAAGCTGTTCTTTAGGAGAATGTAATTTAACTTCCTTTTTTTCTGCAAGGTTTAGATATTTCTTCAAGGGTTAGATATTTCTTCATCCTATATTTCGTGTTGAGCTTTTCCTTCTCTGTCCCTTGTATTCTGCAGACACTGTAGAAGATGAGATGGAAATGGCCACAGTACGACATAGACCAGAAGCTCTTGAACTGCTGGAAGCACAGAGTAAATTCACAAAGAAGGAACTTCAGATCTTATATAGAGGTTTCAAGAACGTAAGCACTTTCTTTTTGAATTTACCATCTGTTTACAGGATGGGCTACTGCAGTATCAGCAGTATAAGAATGACTGGTAATGGAGCTCATGGGATTCAGTAGCTAGATACTGCATGTCTGGTCAGGTGAGGAAACCATCACTCTGCAATAATTGGGCTATTTAATGACCAAAAGATGTAGACAAATGAGAAAGTATCCAGAAGAGAATAATTATAACTTAGCATGGTCAAACTTTGTTCAAGGACAGATTAAAAATTGAGTTGAGGTTGTTTGTCCAAAGATGCAATAGTGGGAGAGAACATAAGTCGTGAAGAATTTGGTCAAGAGGAAAGATTTTGATTTTTGTGTTCACAGTAGCTATTACAAGAACTAATTGGCTTAAATTGCACTAGAGGAATTTTTTATTAGGAGAACAGCAGTAGATGACTTCTTCAGTCCTTCATAGCTCTATAAATCTGTAAACTTGTTAGATTCTTTAACTAGGAGTCATTAGTTGGGATTTTTTTGCTGATATATGTGCTCTATTGGCAGGCCCAATATTTTCAGTTGGCAGGGATCACAGCTGAGGGTCCCAGTACACGCGTGCAGTCTGCCTCTTTTTCCAGTGTGTATGTGCCATCCTGTGGTGCTGGGCTTGGTGTTGGCATGTGAGACATCCATGGTTAGTACAGTAGTGAAATAAGGCACAAAAAGATTTTAGTAAGTAATATTAGATTCTGTCTCTATGCTGCCCTTGGTTTTACTAATATTATGTATATGTATATATTTAAAAGCTGTTTTCTTAAAGAAGTAGCCTTTTTCTGTCTGTTTTATTCTACTGTCTTTCATGTGATTAACACTTCTGTAGGATATTACAAGCAATTAACATTGGATAGAAAATACTTGATATTAAAAAAATTAATAATAACAATTGCTCACAAATCATTGGTGTGTAGTATTAGTCTCTGTACTCAGCTGTGAGTACTGCAACTGTGCAGGTGCTAAGTCTCCTGCTGAGTTGAAGGTAAAGATAACTTTAATTGCATTTATCACCTTTTGATTTAGTTTTTCTTTCACCCTTACAAAAGGGCCTTCTTGCCCTTGGCATTTACTACTCAAATGAAATTGTGTAACAAAGCATAATAGTCCTGAAAGCACAACAAAACTTAACTATGGAATCAGAGAATATTTTCAGTAACTTGTACAAGAAGAAGTGTAAATCTTGCAGAATTCATAAATACCATGTATTTTGTAATGAAAGCAAACCATGCAAAGGGATGTTTTAAAACTACATTTTTATTGAAAGCTTACAATGCAAGTAAAATACAGAGTCATTTAACATGTCCTGTCTATATATCATCCTCAGTTCCAGAAGGTATATAAAGTTGGCATGTTAGTGATTAACAGTGATTGCTCTTAAAAGCTTTTCATTGCCTCAGGGTACCAGAGAACATTCCCCTGCTAATGACAGTATTCCCTAGACATTGCATATCATGAACTAATGTCCCTAATTATCTAAGGCAAAAAGGTACAAAGTATAGTGGATAAAATAAGCCTTCTGTCTGTTTGTCTAAAAATAATTATTTTTAGAGTCTCAGAAATTAAGGACCTTGATAATTCTCTGCATCAAATGAGGTATGGCAAAAGAGAATAGGCTATAAGGAAGTATTTTAATTGATTACCATTTTACTGTTTTTTGAAAAGAGGAATTCCAGCTCTTCATATGCTTTTGTGTTCTAAGATGTAAGTTCTACTTACATCAAAGGTATGTCGATGGCAATACATGGCAATATCTCTTTATTCAGGTGTTTCATTTCCTTATCAGCTCATGATAATTCAAGACATGCGTGTATAAATATCTTTGACTATTTAGAGCTAATGTACTTCAGGTTTTTTGTGTTTAATAGAATTGCAAAATTATCAATTAGTTTCAAAAATGCTGTAAAGCTTGCCTAGGTCTGGTGACTGTTATAAAAGTAAATCAATTTAAAGCAGTAGTCTTTAGGCTAAGCATTAGGTTTCAAAAATGAAGGAATTTTAAAACCTTCAGTTGAGTTCAGGTTTGTTTTGTTTCTCGTATTTATCGGTTTATACTGCAAAATGCTCTCCAGCTCTATGAGCAGCTTGCCTACGTGGATTAGTTCATCTTTCCTGTCGTGTATCTAGCTTTTACCAAATATAGTTTGAGCGGCTTTGGTAGGTACTGATACAGAACAGCATTAAAGTGTATCCTGTGGTCTGCACGTAGATGGTCTTCCCCTGACAGTGCTCAGTCATCAACTTCTGTCTGCCATTCAGGCCACCTCCCTTCTTGCTCCCCTTCTTTCTGATACAGCTTAATACTATCCTGCCAATATCCCCACCCTGGTGTGTGCTTCATGTGCATGCTTCATGCACCAATATATACTGGGGGGTCACCCAGCTGGAAAGCAGCTTTTCAGAAGAGGACGTGGGGGTCCTGGTGGACACCAGGTTGAACATAAGCCAGCAATGTGCCCCTGCAGCAAAGAAGGCAAATGGTATTCTGGGCTGCACTAGGCAAAGTATTGTCAGCAGGTCAAGGGAGGTGGTTCTTCCTTTCTGCTTGGCACTGATTGCCCTACATGGAGTGTTGTGTTCAGTTCTGGGATCCCCAGTACAGGAGAGATATGGATATACTGGAGAGAGTCGAATGAAGGGTCACAAAGGTGACTAAAGGGACTGGAGGGTCTCTCCTGTGAGGAAAGTCTGAGAGAGCTGTAATTTATCAGCCTGGAGAAGAGAAGGCTCAGGGGGATCTCATCAATATGTATGTTATCATGTAGGTCAATACCTGAAGGGAGGGTGTAAAGAAGACAGAGACAGGCTCTTTTCAGTGATGCCCAGTGATAGAACAAGAGGCAATGGGTACAAACTAAAACAGGAAGTTCCTTCTCAGCATCAGGAAATACTGTTTCGCCGTGAGGGTGACTGAGAATGGGCACAGGCTGACCAGGGAGGTTCTGGAGTCTCCATCCTTGGAGATACCCAAAAGCCATCTGGACATGGCCCTGGGCAACATGCTCTAGGAAGCCCTGCTTGACCAGGGGTGTGGGACCAGATGACCTCCTGAGGTCCCAGCTAACCTCAGCCATTCTGTGAGTCTGTGTTACTCTGTTTAATCATTCCGCTAGGAAGGAAACTCTACTGAAAAGATTTAGTGAAATACACAGGCACAGATCTTTAACATCAAAACTTGTGTGGATCTCACATCTGTGGTTTATGCTTTTCACCTGATGTTTGCCTGTCTTACTATCTTTTCAACAATTTAACTATATAAAGCAAGATAAATTGAAGCATAAATTTATGTGTAGGTCTGGTCACTTTATGGTCCTGTTAGACTAAATTTGCAGCACCCTACAGCACAATAACATCAGTATTGCACTGTGCATTGACATGGCTCAAAAGAGCTGTAGTGCAGACTGGGGTCCGACAGGCAATGTAGCTATTATCAGCTGGCATAATTGTTACATGTACTCTTGTTAATTCAACAGAATTATGCCCTATATATGGATTTTTCCTGGTCCGTATTTGTGTCACCAGTGAGCTACAGAATAACTATCACTATTTGATCGCTTGATATTTGGAAACAACATGCTAGTTCAACCATATAAGTTAAGCTAGTTACTGCTTGCTACTCCAAGAGTTAATGCTGATTTCAGGCAGGATTTTCCCATCTATAAATCCACAGATTGCCTATCTCTTTACAGAAGGAACAGACAGCAAGTCTATCCTTACATAGAGCCTAAAAAAAAAAGAGATTATCAATAGTTAAACTGTAATAGTACCAGAAGATAAAGTATCTGTAATGGTGCAAATATTAATAACCTTAATGAACACAAAATTTTAGGCTTTAGAATGGACAAGATGGGAATAGTAGGTATAAATTCAAAGCTGACATTTCTTTCTGAAGAATTTGGATGTCTCTATATTATAATACTTAATGCTTTAGGTTTGTCAGAAAGTAATAAGAAAAGTGGATTTTTTTCTGTATATTTTCAACAGCCTATCTAGAATGCACTTCTTTTCCTCTGTCTTTTTGCAAGCATGGCAGGAAGAAATAGGTCCCAGACATGATAAAGAAAAAACAATTGGTGAAATGGATGAAAAGCAGTATTCAGTGCCTTTAACTCAGTATCCTGTTTCCGACAGTGTCCAGATAAGGGAAAAAAAAAAGAGAAATTTAGAATTAAATTTCCCCTAACATACTGTGCTGTCACCTGGTACTCCACTACTGAAATACTTCCTGTGCTGAAAGTTGTAACTACACCTTTTTATTTTACGTACTTTAACCAAATTTTCTTCCATAAACTGTGATTTTTACTTTTTGAACCTACTAGGGTATTTTGACATCCACAGCACCATGTGGGAAATTAGCTCCATATCTTAATTATGCCTTCTGTGAAAAATAATTCATTTCTATGTCAAAGCTGCTGCCTTTTATTTTACTAAGATATCTATAGTATTTCTGCTATGAGCAACTAACTAACCGTTACCATTGCTTCTCCAAGACATTCACTGTTTTACATACCTCTAACACATTTCCTACTTAGTCCCTTCTTTTCCTAACTGAAAAATTCTGTCTGTATAATCTCAAGCCAGCCTGCTGATTACCCTGAATCCTGTCTAGTTCTAGGATGTCTGTTCTAACATAGAGGTGACCAGAACTTCTTACAGCTTATGTCGTGTTATTTATTATTTATGACTTCAAATTACTTGCATATAGTTCTGACTGACTTCAGATGAGAAAGCAGCAAATACTCATGTATTTCTGTAGTGTTGGTTATTACAAAGTTTAATTTATTATGTGGTTTTCACTTATGCAACAGAAAAAAGGCAAACCTTTAAAGATATTTTCATCACTTTGATTTTCCAGTGTAGGCAAATTGCTCACCAAATCCAGCAAAAAGTAATACGGGCAGAAGGAGTACAGGGTATCAGATAGCATCTCTGTGTATATGTACACACCTGAAAGCTTTAGAAAGTCTCAGATTACACTGTAT